GCAAAACAATTTTTGCTGGCCGAGCAGCATAAATGCAGTTTGCATTTTGTGCAAATGCGCTGCGTTTGTGCAGTTTTGCAGTGCTTGCACCATCTTTTTCCCGTATTGCGATCCAACCACTCTGGAAAATGGTTCTGAAGGTCACACCTTAAGTCCATTATTGGGTGATTTGATTTTTGACCTTGTTAAGTAGTTGCAAGGATCGCTGAGAAATTGGCGACTGCATAGTATGTGATGGCGACCGAGTTGATTGCGCAGACAAAGTTGAAGATGGTGAAGATAAATTGTTGTTCTTGAGTGGACGACCTGGCAAGTCTTTTGACTGATATCCCACTACACCCGCTGCAATAGACTCTCGAAAATCCGGAAGCTCAATCAATTTCTCGCTGCTCATGGTTTCCTTCTGTATACGTCTGTATAGGATGTAGGCGTTTGTTATGGCCATATCTACTAAATGGTAGAAAATTAGGGTTGTAGCATCTTGAGTTTTACTTCTTATATGGTATCGGCCCATAAGCCCATCCATCAGATCCACACCCCCCATATGAGCATTATACTCTCTAATAATTTGTGGACAATCAACTTCTACATGGCGCTTCGACTTTCTGTCGTAACGAGAGGTCTTTGCTGTTCCTTCTTGTGCATGTGACCTCTCAAACGGCTTAACGCCCACATAGGTCGATAACAACGGAACGGCCTTGTTGTCTTTCCACAGTACGTTACTAATTTCTACTCTATATGAGGAGCCCACGTACTCAGCTGAAAAACCTCTTGACTTTTCCTTGATTTCACTATCGTTTGGGAGTTTGCAGTTTAGTATCCGATTTTCTCGAATAGTTCCCAAACTGTAAATCCCTCTTGCCCGAAGGTAAACCATCAAAGGTATCGATGTGTAAAAATTGTCAAAATATATTATATGATGTTTGAAGCTTTCAACGGTTTTTGTCAAGCTGACGCACCAAGATCAGGGTAACCAGGTGATATCGAATTATCACCTGCGCCACTATATATTTCAAATCTGTATGCATATCCAAATGAATCACACAGGACAAATAATTTTATTCACCACTTGTGTGGCTTATTGGGCATGTATTGCCGCAAATGGTGCTTCATTTTTGTGCTGCACATTTGTTCATCGACGCATAATCGAGCTTGCTTAGGCACAGAGTCAAATCTTTCATTCAAAATGTCAATAACTCTGCGCGTGCGAAAAAGTGGATCATAGCCAGGCTCACCCTTTTTGATACGCTTGCTTTCATCACACAATGAGAAGTATTTCTTAATTGCTTCAAATTTGCTGCGGGTCATACAGGTTTGTATGGGTGCTAACGCGTTTTGTCCCCAGTAACTTTTCAAATTAGGGTACCGATATATTGACATGTAAATCAAAATACCGATATAGTGATGAACAGCTCCCGTTGTGATCTTAAACTTGTTCGCAATATGTTTCCTTGAAAGATGCGCGCATTGTTTCCTCGACTATCATACTTATAATGTCCGTGTTTACAAAATAACAAAATAGTTGATACGGAGTTTTCAGATCAGTTAATTTTGATGGCAACGAAGAGTCGCCTTGAAAAGCTACATTGTTTATGTGCAATTGCATTGATTGATGTCGCCATATAACTTTACTGGGTTCCTTTTTAATCGATTTAATATCTAATAAAATAAAATAATGAGTTGTATTATAATTCAAAGTAATGACTTGCTTACTAAGCCCATTAAAGCCACCAGAAGATGGTAAAGTTGTATGTGTTGCTCCTTCAATAACTGGCAATGGAGATCGAGGCCTTTTAGGAGCTTTTCGGGAAAACTCATGGTTCTGCACAGTATTTTCAATGTTTTCAAGATTACTGCACATTAAGGATACCGTAGAGGCATCTTCTATTGCAGTGTTTAGTGCCTCTGCTAGGTCTTCATCTTCTTCATCCTCGTTGTCACTTGATATACTTGATATATCCACATCCGACGGGACTGATTCGAATAGCTCCAGCAGTTGTTCATCCGTCAAATCAGACCATTTATAGCGAACTCTCAAAGCCATTATTTAATTTCTATTAACAACAAGTAAGAACGTTGCAGTCGGGCGTTACCGACTGGGGAATACTCATTCACATCCCATCAACAATTTAGTAGTTAAGTTTCGTTCTAATACTGTAGAATATACAGGTTTTTCCGATTTGCCACGCCCCAACTGGGCGTAGACACCTCATTTTTGGTCAGTTTTTAGAAAGAGATAACGTTACCCTAACTGCAAAGTTTGAATGCTTACCCTAAAAAAATGTGAAAATTACAGGGTATTTTTCGATATGCCACGCCCCTAAAGAGGCGTAAAAATTATTTTTGGGGAATCGATAGAGGAGGCTACCAGTAACTCAACTATCCAAATTTGAAGCTTCTAGCTATTATACTTTAGGAGATATAAACTTTTGCGGTTTGCCACGCCCCCTGTGGGCGGACATATATCCGACAAAACTTTTTGGTCTTGGGTGATCAGTCCGAGTATATATACAAAATTTGAGGTCTCTGCCATCAATAGTGTCCAAAATATAGGAGAATTTAAAAAATCACTATATCTTCAGGTCCGATTTGCCACGCCCCCAACGGGCGTAGACTTATAATTTATCTTCAGACTTTATAGAATCATACCATTAGCTGACGTGCAAAATTTCAGCATTCTAGGTTTACAACTTTAGGAGATACAGTTTTATCCGATTTGCCACGCCCCCAATGGGCGTAGATATATCCGCCATAGCTCGTGATCTTGGGTGGTCAACGCGGACCTACATACCAAGTTTCAGCTTTCTAGCTCTTCAACAAACATGATTTCTGGTATATCGGAAAATGCATTTTCCGATTTGCCACGCCCCTAGTGGGCGGATCGGGAAAATTTTAACACTTTATAAATCGGAGATNTATTGTAATTACATTAATTAAATATTAATTATTATGATACATTTATTATTAATTTAGAATAGAATAAAGACAAATACTTATAGTCTTATAAGAATGGAAAGACTTACATATATGAGAGGTTATCATCTAATCTCAAATACATAACATGCATCTCGATAAGGGCATTTAAATGTCGCATTGAGTTAGTTTTCTTTTGTTTTTGCTCTACTCCTAATGTTTGTATCTTTTTAATGTAATCAAATTATGAAAATAATATGAGAGCGTCCGTAAGTGAAGTTGCCAAAATGTTGAGTGATTGTTTTCGCACGGCATCCCTCTCTCCCTCACTCTCTCTTTCACTCTCTGGGCGTCGGCCTAGGGCCGCCTGCTGAGATTCACTTAAGCCAGCCCTTTGGGGGCGACCAAATAAATTATATTTAAAATGCTAAGCCCTGGTACCCGTACCAGTCAGCCAGCCTTCCAGCCAGCCAGTCAGTCACTCAGTCAGTCAGTCAGCCAGTCCCTCGTCTACATACTCCTCCCAGTGGGTGTTTCTATTTCAACACTCGAGACCCACTACCACTCGGAGCGCTCCAATTGGATTTATGTTTGCGCTTAGAGGCCCACCAGGGTGGTTGAGCGTTGGGTTGGTGGCTTTGTTGGGCTCGTGGGTCGCTGGGCTTTTCGGTAACTCGTCAGACCGCCCACGAGGATTTGCTTATTGCTTTTAAAAACATTAAACTCTTGCGCTCTGCCACTCTGGTGTTGTTCTTGTAATTGCTTAAGCCGACTGTTTTTGATTTCCTCTCAGTCGTCAAAATGACACATCACGAACTTTTTTAATTTGTTTATGATAATTTACGTATTAGACAGGTGAATGTGAAACACCTGTAAGAAAATCATTGCGAAAATGGAGATTTAGGTTTGATGATATTTCACGAGTTAGCTCAACCGCTGAATACTTGTCTAGAATTTCAGCATTGTTATAAACAGTTTAGTCGCAGAATATGAAAGTAATCACACTGCCATTCAAAGTACGTATGATGGGAGAAAGCCAGATATACTCTCTTAAATTTGGCAGCGGGTATCAAAGCATGATTCAGAGCAGTTCATTAATTGATAAGCATTTATCGCAAAGTAACGCGGCAAGCGCAGATCCTTGAAGCCATTCAACTTGCAAGTGGAATCCTTCAGTGGCTCAGTCAGTGCAATCAATCTCCAATGCGGGCTCTGCTCAAATGCTGTGCGCAATATGCGCAGATTAATTAATTTGTATTACATGCATAGATATACGCACACACACACACATACACATACGCGCAATAAGTCAAGTCGTTGTTGTACAATAATTAATCAAATCAAATGCATAAGTTTCGGTAATCACATGCGTTCCATTTGTAGCAACAACTGGGAAATCAAATCAGCGCCCGAAATGCGCTTAACTTGCATGTCAATTACAGCTGGCGAATAACTGCCCCGCCTCCCGTCTCCTGCCTCTTGCTATTTACGCCTGCCCCCCACCCCACCTCAGCTAATATTCAAAGTCAATTGGCGGAACTCATGAACTTATCGCAAGGGGCTCGCATTGCCACCCATAGATCGGGGTTTGAGTCGCGATTATTCATGCCGCACGCACAAAATGCAAATCGAATGCGAATCACTAAAACGCGAAATTGGCAACGGCGCGCGGCGAGCCCACTGAATATCGATACGATTTTCATTTCGGCCAATTTCATGCTAAATATGCCGCCATTTGCGTTTAATAGTTGATAAGCCCTTGGAAGCGGGCCACAGCCAAGATGCAAATTCAAGCTGTGGCCGCAACCAATTGGATTCACTCGCCGGGGCTTCTCTAAGCATGTCATCTATTGGATAATGAAGTAATTCAATTGAAAATTTAATTTCGTCTGATTAAACTTATTTGGTATTCTGCAAAAGATCGACTATTTATTGAGAAATTAATGCATCTTTTCATTATGAATATTTCGATGTTGTGTTTTCGTGCATATTGCGATTTTCGGCTCTTGAATTTCTTAAAATTTGATATTTTCATATTTTTGCCATGGTTTAGCTATTGCCTAAAATCATTTATGTCTGAACACAAACTTTTTGCCACCATTGAAGCTAAAGATTTGGAATAATGAAATGTGGTTACTATTGTTTGATAAACTGTTAAGACTTTTCGATACCCCTTGGGTATATTTCAGAATATATACATATAATATAATATAGAATTCTAGCTACGCGAAAAGCCTTTTGATTTTCGGGATGCATATTCGCACTCTCAAGGCAAATTTATAGTGGATATATCCGTGGTCCAGCCATAAAATTGTAGAATTTAACATGGATTTCTTGAAAAATATTACCAAAATTGGATAATCGACACAAACCTTAACTTCTAAAGTTCTATGTAGAACTGTCGAAGGAACTGAAAATATAGTTTTGTTTAATATAAGTCTCTCTCTCCCTGTCTCTCTCTCTCTCTCTCTCACTTATTCTAAAACTAAGCCATACGTGCTTTTTGTTTTCTTAAATTTAATGGGTATTATGCAGTCAGTAGCGTCCGTAAGCGACATTTATGTAGTTTGCTGTTTCAAGGGCCAATAGATCGCATTGCTGACATTCTAATAATATAAATATAATATATAAC